TGTGTGTGTGTGTGTGTGTGTGTGTGTGTGTGTGTGTGTGTGTGTGTTACTTTGACAGAAACATGTTCTCTAGGGTTGTTGTAATTCTGGGAAATGTAAGAAATTATAAGTTAAGGGTCCACCAGAACGTGAATTACAAATGTTCACTACAAAAGGAGTTATAGATTGATGAAAGCTGAGTTTGTTTCTTTCACCAAATTTGAATTGTGCTGTCTTTTCTACATCCTCTTGGACACATACAGTATATTACCTTCATTTGTTGGGTAACCTGTCGGAATACTCAATGTCATTTAAGAGGAACAATGTAGTTCGTTATCTTGAAACCTGACTGTTAAACTTTGTAGAAAAACAATATCAGTAAACTAGAAAGCAAAAGCATTTTTCAGTGACAAAATCAAATCCTCTTTGTTATAAAAGGAAGCGTCAATGTGCAGCGCTATCATCGTTTTTATTCTTTCCATGTTCCCCTCATTTTCTCCACTTCTGATTGGGCTGAGGTTTGTATTAAAGCATCAGCTTTATTCATTGGCTGTCTTGTATGTTTTTGCTCGCACAGGGCATGTACACACTGATGGCTCGCTGCGAGGAGTTGGATCGTTCCATGCAGCCCATACACACCCTGGCGGCCCAGATCCGTGACATCAAACGCACCCTCGACGCTCTGGAGGCGATCTGCAAGTAGCCCCCCCACCTGTCCGATTTGAATACACGCCCCCAGCTGCAAAGATCCAACATCAAGCACATCCTGAACGAGGCTGTCTGCAAGTAAGCCCACCTTTCTGCAGGTAGCGCGCACACACTGCAGCCAAGATTAAGTGCACCTCTGGATTCCAGGAACCATTGCTACTAGGCATGCTGGAGGATTGGCTCTCATAGTCCCGCCGCTTGTTCATAATTTGAAGATGTTTGTTTCGTGAGATTCCAAATGAATTTGCGATTGATTTTCTCTCGGGGTCGAGCTTTCTCTTGCTTTCTTTTTTTGTTTTTAAAGCCTCTAATGAAGTTGTCGTGAAATGAAATCTCAGAAATGAACCCTTTTTGGAGACACTCGGTCAAGTGCCCTGAACACACACACACACACACACACACACCCTTGAAGATGTGTTTACAGCGAGAGGAGGAATATTGTGTCATTATCCGTCCAGCCCGCTTTGTTCAGATTGCACTAACCTTTCCTCCCCACATGGGGGCGATGTTTCTCTCCGTGTGTCTCTTTGCTGATGGAGAGGCCGGTATGAACTGCTCAGAAGACAGTGACTTTTGCACAGGAACAGAAAGCCTATTTTTTAACCTTATGCAACAAAGATCCGATTCTTTTCACTGCAGACTTAATGAGGGGAGGGGAGCATCATGTCTCTCTGTCTGTCTGTCTTATTTTAATGTTTATTTATTAAGTGTTCTCAGCATGGTTGCTTATTCGACTACGCTGCTACTCGGTGTCACTGGGAACTAACCAGTACAGCCAGAGTTTTGTCCCACTGAACGGTCCCTCTGGAGCATTTGGAGTTTAAGCTCAAGTGCTGCTTGAGGGTAGTTGTCGAAGGAAATGAAAGTGTTTCACTTTTTCTACTCGGACTATGTCATGTTGTTTATCAATTAAAAACTTGTAAACTTTATAAATCACAGGTCTGCTTCTGTGATTTAAAGCCACCCCCTGCCAGGTGTCCTACAACCTCACTCTCCTCCTTTTGTGCAATCCGAGATGTTTTCGTGCAAAAAAATATCTTCGTGCGTATCACAACATTCCCAATGGCATTAAATATTTTAAAGGCTTTGTACTTATTTGACTTTTAAATGTCATCAAACCGAAGAAACATTTGATACATATTGCCAACCTGAAGACTTTCATGAAATCTGAACCTATTGAAAATGTAATTTAAATTCCAGACATGCAAGTAGCCAACAAACTGCTGAGAGTGTCATTGATCCTGTGAATGAAATTCAAACCAGTTATAGTTTGCTTCTGCCTGTACTGACCAATCACGAAGAAGAAGAAGAAGAAGAAGCTACGTTTCTGTGCAGCATGTCCTCGCTTTTGTTTTCTTCAACATTGAAAGGATCGGACGACTTGTTTCCAACAAAGAGTCAACGTCACTGTAGTTGGGATTCCGTCTTCGCGTGTGAACTAACGTGGACTTGTGTCACATTTAATAGAAGTGAGTATTTATTAATTTACTCAAAGAGAAAAGCTACTGAACGAGTGCCGCGTGGCTTGGCTGTTACTTTATCGACCTGAAGCCATTCGCTCTCCTGGAGCGTTGTACTTGATTTAATGAAGAGACTGTGGTACGTCTGTCATTGCACTGGTGGGTGGCCTTGTAGTAGATCATTGTGCTATTACTTTTAAATATACCCGTTACTGATGGCAGCAAACATGTCAATTTGGTGGATTTTGTGATATTCATCTAAAAACTTTTATCAAAGCAATATTGGAAGCAAAGTCCTTACTTATTTTAGCCGTGGTTCTGCATCGTAACCTGTTCATGTTCACCACAAAAAGCTCAGATTGCATTCTTTGTCAAATCTGCTCTTTGTCTCATCGTCGCTCTCCTCAACCTTGTTGGCAAAGAGGAAGAGCCGCATCTTCACAAAGCTTACATTAAAGAATGGGATGGTCCTGATTATACTGAAATGTACTCCAACATGTCTGTGCTTGTAAAGATGTTGATGCTCTTTTGCAGATGAAGGTTAATGTCCAGAGAGCGGACATGTGGGAGTCTTAGTAGATTTCCAGGGTGAGGGAGGATCCTTTGAAATGGGGAAATATGAGAGACAATGCCCTTGTTCATAATGTAAATGTATGATTAATTCATTTTCTGTTGTACAATCGGATGATGCACCTGTGTAGATATGATCTCTTTCTGTAACTAAAAAAAAAACAATTTAGATACCCGTCGTCTTGAGTGTATATTTTAATGAAAAATAACAAATAAATTTACATGAGCTGCAAGAACAAATGTTTCCATTTTATTTTCAAAGTGTGCTGCCTCAAGGAGCACTGAATGTATGTGAAAGAAACATATAAACAACTCTGACTTACAAAAAAATATATACAAATATGCAGGTTTTCTATTACAGATGGAAGTTTTGTGTTTTTTCTAAATTAAAGGTTTGTCCTTTGAGTTAACAGTTACTGCATTTATAACATTCTAACCACAATAAGAGTTAAAAAGGCCTGAACTACATGCTGCGGAGACCAATAGGTGCAGATATTTAGACTTGTCACAGCGGCGTTATTAATAACAGTAACGATGGCTCTGTTTTGTTGTCACTAAGCTGTGACAGTGAGCCAGCATGCTCAATACCAGGACCCTGCAACTTAAGCAGCTAAATGGGATTCAGCCATCATTCATTTTATTATTCATACTTGTGCTTTTCCCTCTGTGATATTTCAAAAAGGCCCGTGTTTAATTTTGCAGAGGATGCTCTTGAAGACGTCAACAATCCACAACATAAATCCTGGATGTTTTGAAGGCCAAAGTTGACACATTCTGTTTGTCTGACATTGCATTAAACATGTGACTCTCAAACTGCTGCTTAACTAACTCCTAAAAGATTTATGAAAATGACAATCTCTGTCAGGAAGATTAACTGACGGGTTCACTCTGTTTACAAGTACACAGAAGGTCTCCCTGACCTTTCTACTATCTAGCACAGCAGATTGTTTTGGTTTCATTTGAAGGATTTAAAATATTAGCCTCTGACCTTTCTGCTGTCACTCCAATCCAATGACGGTGAATAGAGTTTTAATTATTTGGGGTGAACCAGCCTTTTAACCCAGCACGTCTACTTAATAGAAAGAGAAACTCATAATTACCATTTAACATAGGACTGAAATGTAACAACAAAATGTGCAAAGAGAATAAAACCTTGCGCAGGTTTTACAGACTGCTTGTATATATTTGTGGTGACGGTGTAACGACTGTCAAGTCTATCTTGTGTGTCGCATCTCTTCTCTCCTAAAGGTTTAAATTCAGCCTGTATGAACGGAAAAAAGTGACATGTGTTTGTACCACTGCTGTCTCTCGGCACATTCAGTGATAGATTTGAAGTTCCACCTGTGAACATCGTTTTTTTTTTTTTTTTAACAAAGCAGCACTCCTGCAGCTAGCAGAGATTCAGTGTTTTGCTCAAGGGCACTTCAGAAGGGCTCGTATTACAGTTATAGCCCAGACCTTCCAGGTGAAGGATGGTTTGTTCTTATTTTAAGGTTCCAGGCAAAGACTTCCAGCCACCAGCAACAGCAGAACACTCAGGTTTGGGGCACTCAGTGAATTTGTTCCACCGTCTGTAGTTACTTCCAGTGAAGGCGTTGGGCTTCCGGTTCCAGGTGAACTGCTTCCTCTCAACTCAATCACAGAGGCACCTTTTGTTGTAGAAGTTGCTGTAATCCCCAATACATCTCCAGTAATTTTTTTTACTGCACCCCCAACAGATGCTCCGTCTTTGGGGGACTGCTGGTCTGAGATGTCTCCGTCCACGGTCTTGTACCACTGGCATTGGAAGTCCTTCTTCCAGATCTCAGCTGGGTCAGGTTCTGCTGGTTTGGTGTTAGTCTCTGGCTGATCTGTGGTTTTTGCTGCCTCTTCCTGGTGGATAGAAAAATAATGTCAAGATTAGCAAACATTGCTGCTGTGATATTCACAGGGAATAGTGAAGGTTTCATGATATCAGTCTGAAAACTAAAGATTAAAGAGTACGGCTCAAAATCAGATGGAAATAAACTTTTCATAATGTTCTGCAGTTGCAGCAATATTCATACTTGTGTCTTACATTTTATGACAACTGAATAGTGATGAGTGCTCCCAGAGAACACAATGTTCTTGTGTTCAGTGTTCCAGCATATCTGTCTCTGTTGTGTCTCAGCTCCTGTATCCCTCTCTGCTTTCTTTCTGTCTAAAGACAGAAGATCCTCAGGCAACTGGACTCCCTGCTGTTGTCTTGGTTATCTTTATCAGTCGTGACTCAAAATCAGTTGTTCGGCTTCCAACTCCACACGGAAAGAACATAAGTTGAGAAGTTGTCTCTTTTGACAATTGCCTTTCAACATGTGCTCACAGGCTTCAGTGAATCGACTCTTGAGTATCAGGAAAGGGAGGAAGTCAAAGAGGCAATCAGAGCTTTTCTTTCGGAGCTTTCATCTTTTTTAAGACATTGTAGTAGAATCTTATATCTCACCATCACGTGTGTTTGTTAACCTTTCTACAGAGAGTAAAGTAAGTAAGACGCTGTACTTTACGCCCAGTTTATTGCAGACACCAAGCTAACACTTTAGTTATGTCAATTTATATCAATGCAACACAGACCAAAGTTGTTGTGCTGAGAGCAAACAAGCTTCGTGTTAACACGTGTACCAACGACAACATCAAGATGCATGACTTTGGACATATTACGTGATTTCACTCAAGGATCTTGTAGCGTTTGACCTACTGTCGCCGGTCAGTCGTGTAGTGTGAAAAGCACGACGACTTCCAGACTCCAAATTACAAGTCAACTAGTTGTGTAGTGAGGAACAGTTCGGCGATCTGACAACCTTGACAGTTGTGTAATGTGAACTTTGCTTTAGACTGCAGCAGTTCTAGCTTTGCGTAGCTAATTAACTGGAAACTGAAGAAGCTTCATCTGTCGTAAGACCCATAAGGTCACCAAGTCTGTTTTACATCTGAACAATATGTCTCATGTCATCATCTATTTTTGTCTCATTGTAGGAGTGGGATTCAGTGCTTGTGAACAGGATTAATGACATCTGGAACACGATACATGAACAGAGCTTTATAAATCCGGCACAGATGCATCTTGAAAGCTGCTTCAAATGACACTCCCTCACCTTCTCCGTCACCTTCTCCACCACTTCGGTCGGCAGTGGGAGGTGGAGGTAGACGGAGCTCTCTGGATTTTGACGGACGCATCGGCCCTTTCCCTGGCACAGAGAGGCTGAGCAGAGTCGAGTTGCCGTGGTGACGTTGATGGAGTAGGGTCCCAGGACCTTGCAGACAAACTCTGCCAGGTCTTGACACTCTCTCTGGGAGGAGGAGACAGGTTTGGGAAGAAAATGTTTGCCAACACAAAGCCCTCTTTGAAGTTTTCATTAGCGAGATGGAAAAAAGTTAAATGGTAAAAATGTGTGTTTATAAACTGAACTCTTGACATGTAGAAGTGTCGGTGTATAAATGTGCAGACATATTCGTGGGTGTATGCACTTTATGTAAATGTATGGCCGTATACCTCCGTCTTAGTCTCGCTCTTCCCCCAGATGACAACTCCAGCTGTTCCCATGGCAGCACTCTCTCCTATGGTGCTAACCAGGTCTGCCTGTTAACAAGACATCATACAAAGAGGGTTTTCTTCTTGTCTCTGTACTCCTCATAGTACGATACATTATAAACACCATGATACTTGTCATATGAGCCCTCTGTTTATTTTAACAAATCCAACACCTGATGATGTGGACCAAACACACCTTTAGCTTTCTAATTATTCTCTTTTTCAAACAGAACTGTCAGACTTTAGAAACGGGGAATAACTCGTGCTTTGATTCAACATGAATCTACTTCTCTCCTCTGTCTCCATTTGTTCTGCTTCATCATTGATGCCTTTGCAAGGCGCTTGGATCAATGACCAGACGTTGACATCTCACCTGTGACAGGAAAGTGTTAGTTGATGCATAGACACTCTTGACCAATGGGAATACAGGAAGATCAGACACAGTCCCAGTCAAAGATGATACTCGTAGTGCTTCTCTGATTTGACTGGACAAGTGAAGCCTGGCTCCAGAGGTCCCACACTATTAAAAAAAAAAGGGGACAGATTGTGCACATTTTTACCTGTAAACCAGCTACATCACATTTATTCATTATTTACACAAAAGTACAGCACAGTAGTGTTACCCACCTGCATCTTCTCCAGGGTGAGGAGAGGGTAGAGGGCGGAGCATCGTTTCCACAGCCACAGAAGCTCGTCGTTGAGGGCCATCTCCGTAGCAGGGCACTGGCCGGTGTAATTGGCCAACATGGTTTGGGTGGGATCGCCATTGTAGCAGCTGGGGTAAGGAGAGACGCCCCATAATGCTTTGGGCCTTAACCTTTTGACCTCCCGTAGAGTTTCCATCATTACTGACTGGGCTGCTGCCTCGAAGTCCACCTGTGACGAGATCAATACATCCTCTCTCAGTGGAGTACAGACATTTTTCTGGGTTTTTGTGAATAGTAAATATGAAATGCCAAATCATCAAACCTAACCAAAAGGGGTGTGGGATGTAACCGTATTTACCGTGAGATGATGAAAATGTGTCAACTGTTTTTGTAGCTATCAGTTAATCATTTAAATAATTCTGGACAATTTGCAAATCAGTAAGCAGAACAGTGTTATGGCAGTGTTGGCCTGCCATCATTTTGCAGATATTAAAAAGAATAGTTTAATAGTTTGACACTGTGGAAAAATACCCCTTTTCTGCTTTCTTGTTAAGAGTTAGATGTGAAGATCGATAACCACTCTCATGTCTTTCCATTAAATTTGAAGCTGGAGACAGCTGGTGACTAGCATCTTTGATGGTGACTAGCATCACTAATTTCTACTCTGGTTACATTTTAGTCTGGATTTGACTTATCCAGTGGCCGCTACTTTAGTATAAAATGTTCCAGTCAAACCTCAAATCAACAGCCTTTGTCTTCCTTCTTCGCAATGATTTCCAATTCAGCTTTATTCACATTTACCAAGGGCTTCTGTTTGCATACTGTTCTAATCTTTCCAAACTGACTGAATGTAGTTCACAGAATCAGAGTTAAGTTGTTTTTACCCTTCATTGTAGCTTTGACACCATGTTTCTGCTGAGTGAATTATGCAAAAGGCGGCTCACTTTGTCATCACATCAAGTAATTACATGCTGTGACTCTTCTTCCATCTCTTCTTCACTCGCTGCTGTAATGATCCATTATCCGCTCCTTCCTCCCCACTCCCTCTCTAAAATGTGCTCACATCATAATAAAATATAATTGCTAACATGATAGCAATACCAAATACCAAATGGTACCATACTGATGTTGTTAGTGTTCAAGGCCCACTGAATATTTAGATCAAAGATTTTGTCTTTACTACAGAAGAAACACTTTTGGAAGCATTCCTCCCCCCAATCAGTATCTTGCACTCTCCAACATCTGCCAACCACTTTGAAAGTTTCCTCTCCACTTCCACTCATGATCCCTGATCCATTTTCTTATCAGTTATCACTCTTTCCTCACACTTTACCATCTTTTCTTACCTGTGACCACTTTTCCACCTCCTCCGGGGTCCAGTTAGGAAAGAAAGTCTTCAGCAGGTTTCTCGATGCCTCCAGATACATCGCCTGCCTCTCTTGGGTCCTTGACCACTGGGGGACCCACTCTGCCCAGCGCAGCACCCCCAGCCCAAGGTACCTCGGGGCAGGTAAAGCTGCCTCCAAGTCCTGCTGTGTCTTCTGGAGGTGGTTGTCCAGCCGTGTGTGCTGTGGTAGCCCCCCATTGACCGGTGTGTCTTTATCTATAAAATAAGGGTAGTTCCCCAGCGTGTCCTCATAAAAGACGGCCACGCGGCCCTCCCGTTCCATCCCGAAAGATCTAGGATCTGGCCGACCGGAGCAGGAAGAGTCAGGGATGCCCCAGAAGATGATGAAAGGTTGTCCAGACAGGAGAGGGGGGCAAGCTGGCTGCGGTGGACCAGCAATACCCAGGGCAGCAAAGGCAGCAAGCAGAAGAAGGAGGGGCAGTAAAACTGGAGGCTGGACTTGAAGGATAGCTGATGAAAAAGTGTCCCGAGTCTTTAGATTGTGAGGTGTGAGTTTTGGTTCGGGCTTTGGGTCTGGACCGGACCGTGGCTCGGCCCACGCCATTGGAGCAGCCACCTCTCAGGCCGTCACCCCTTCAGGCCCTCACAGCCAATCATGTTCCTGTTAAACACAAAGCAGGCGTCAAACCTCTTTCGGTCTGTTGGGTGATATGGTTATGATCAAATAATGAGCAGAAGGTGATGAAGGACAGCAGAATTATTCCTGCATGACTTTATTTTTATCATCACATACATACTCGCATAAAATTCGACCTCTACATTCAACCCATCCTAAGCATTTAGGAGCAGTCGGCTGCTTTGAAGCGCCTGGGGAGCAACTTGGGGTTCAGAGTCAGACACTTCACATAACCGACGGAGCCAGGGATCATAACGGCAACCTTGTGATTAAAAGACGACCCGCTCAACACCCCTGAGCCACAGCTGCCCCAAAACTCTTAACGATGTAAACAAAACTAACATTAAGAGATCCGCACATACAAATCACAAAAAAACACATATTCTATCCTGAGTAATTGGGAGATTGTATCTTGACAGACCGACACAGAGGGCCCAGGAGTTTGTCTGCTATTGCTTTACTATAATCATGCCTATTAGAATATCCAGATATTTCTTTCGATCTATTTAGCTGCACTCTATTTTGACATTTATTTCTTATTTTAAAGGCTTAAATCGTCCCTTAAACTGTTCTTATCTTCTCCACCATCCTACATCTCCCCCATGTGACAGATTACATATATCCTCATGGGTTCCCTCAGTCACACATGTCATGGAGAAAGCGGTTGTATTTAATATTTCATACACTCAGTGATGCAGTCGATACAGTAGACACTCAGTTGGGGTCCAGATTTTAAAATGGTTACAGATTTTGTGCAAGGCTGTGCACACAAGTAAAGAAGGAGAAATGCTGTCCTGACATCTAACGCAGATACACATTGTTTCATTCGTTGCCAAAGAAAGAAAAGTTCCGACAGCAACTCATTTACATTCTCCAACTTGATTTTTTGTTTTCACACTGATCTGCTGAGACACCAGTGACTGCCTTGCAATTTTTCATGTTGCCCAAAACCATAGCAACACAATGAAGAAATTACCACTTTAATCAGAATTATTTACTTTTTTGCCTCTAACAGCTGAAATATAAAATCTATGCTTGCAGAAAACACAGTGTAAACATGCACCTACTTAAATTATTAAGTATAAAACTAAGATTTTAAATGTGAATAATGAAATAATCATGCTAAGCATTTGGCACATCACATGTGTGATCACAAGACACAAAACCTGAAGAAGAAGTGGTACTGATTAATTTAGAAACTATTATTATTCTGGATTAATGTACGACATAAAGAAATCCTCGGTTGCTGCTGATATTTGCCATTATTCTACCATAAGGTCAGTGGCTGGATAGAATGGTTTTGGCTCGACAAGCCCCCATGTGGGGATAGTCCTACGCTTGCGAAGTCAAGTACTGGCGAGTGTTGGAAATGTGTCACCATGAACGATGTGGATTATCTTCTTCGTCATGAATTTGAAAGTCGGCGTTTTGGGGGAAAATGTCAGATTAAACACGTCGGTGCCTATCAACCGTGTGATATTGTTATTAACCTAACCCCTGGAAAAAATAAGCAGATTTAGAATCATCAAACATGAAAGCGGCAGGACAACCTGGTAAAATTAGACAACATATATAATCCAGGTGTCTTTTTAACATATAACATTTTAGGAGAAAAGAAGGTTTCATCTCTTGCAGCCTCTTGTTGAATCGGAAGAAACAAACTGGAAAAAGTTGAAACCGTTTTTTCCCAGGATGCAAGTTTTCTTGCCTGTCTTGTGATACTTTGCTGTCAAATGAAACAATGTAGCAGTAGAAGTGTTATATGAAACAAAGTTCTGCTAATGCAACAGACAGGCATTGGAGGAATCCCATATAACAGACAGGTAGTCAATAATTGACCTGATTAGCGAAACATTTGGCCAACTGTGAGAAATATATGTTGTTCCACAGTTACACTGAAGGCTGTTGTTCAACAGGCAGCACAAGATATGAGATAATGAGAGCTGGAAGCAGCACTAACCGTTACTCTTTTTAAATGATATCTGGCTGAGTTGCAGCTTTGCGTAGGCAGTATAATCAAAACAAAGTGTGAAAGATAAGAACAGCGAGGCTGATTTAACCAACAAACAGTGTCCCAACACAATTTGGTGTAAAATCGTATAACTTTGTGCAACATGTATAACTTATCCTGCTGTACGTGTTTCACACACAAACACACACATAGACACAATCTGCTGATATAAGTTATACAATTGAAACAAATTACTTTTGGAACTAGTTTACAAAATGTGTGGGCCGTGGATATGAACAGGAACTGTACTGTAATGTTGCCATGGATTCAGTTGGGTACACTGTAGAAGTGTACAACGTGTGCATTTGTTGACAGTTTGGCAAATTGGCACCATTGAACATATGCTGAATCAGATATTAAATATAAAAATGTATGTATCATGTCTGTTTACGACTTTATCACAGCTGCTGCTGCAACTGTTGACCAACGGGCCCAAACTACAATAACTGACTGTTTCCAGAGCACCGGCATGCACCTGCGTCTCATTCTCGCTCCCAACTCGTCAAATACCGCAGCTTGGTCAGTGCCCTGTTTTGCCCTGTTCAGCTCCATCTAAAAAATGCCAGTTCCCAGTGCTCTTCAACAACATAACTATGCCAATGAGCACTTGAGCAATACTCCAGCGGCAACTTGGCTGCTGTGTTGCTTTTGTCGCTCATAGTGTGAACCTAGCACCACACATTCAGAGCAACTGACGTAGTATACAGAGTAGAGTTGTTCTGAGACCGATACCAGTATTGGAAATGGCTCCAATACAGCCTAAAATGCTGCAGCGGGTATCGCAAGAGTCTATGCACCAATCCAATATCGTATCGCTTATCTGCTCATTTATGCTACACAGGAACAACAGCAACATGTCACTCGCTTCTCAATCCGTACATCCTGCCTGATCGGTCTGGGTGTTGGATCAGTATCGGAAAAAGATCAGGTTACGGAATGGGGAAGGAAACAATGGTTATCAGAACATCTCTAAAAAAGGGCTTTCATGTATAGGAGAGCTGCTTCTGTCCTGTGTGAAATCAAGTCAGCTTTGACTTCTTTTACGTAGCTTACGTAGCCAACTTAACACCTAACCAAGTCCTATACTTTTGTTGCCTCATTCGGTATTCTGATGATGATGATGGGGAAGAGTGCTGTCTAACACTGAGCTCCATAATGTCCTATAGGCGTTCAATTGAGTTGAGACCAGACTGCAAAGGCCATAGCATATGAATCACATTGTTTTCATATAAATCAAACTATTCAGTGATCCCTAGTGCCCTGTTTGGAAGCGTCTTGTTATGTCTCTCCACTCATTTAGTCAGGTTTTTATGTGTTTGTGTATTTGGTTTGAGTACAGTAATGATGAACACCACTATGTTATACTGTGTCCCATTCCTCTACTGTTAACAAAGGGCTGTAGCATCTTCCCGTTCTCCAGCTTACTTTTCTTCACCGGTAACTTGTCACATTTTGATGAAAAAGGTCAAGCGATTGCTTGTTAGCAGTGGAAACCCTTCTCTACCGCCCAGATAGCTGCACGCTCTCTACCAAGCCATTAAAAAGGTAAAATATAAACACTATGAGACGAATGTCTGGTGGAGATAAAATGCCAAGAGACTCGTCACATTAAATATTCTACATGCAAATAAATGCGCATGCTTTAAAGGTGGCAAAAGAAGAGAATATATCTGCACCCTTACAGGTGTTTTGTATTAGCCTGGCTGATTAGCCCTCTAGTCAGGTGGTGCTATGCTGGAAATAATGTGATGTCACCAAACTCAGTCTCCATGGACTAACAAGAGATGTAAAGGTGTCCCACGAAGGCGTAAAGGATTTGTCAAATGAAGTGACGTCCGTACATGCCCACACAGTCCTGCGACTAATCAGGCTCAAGTGAAAACACCTGTCTGCAGGGCCGTTACATTTTACGCGTAAACGTGAGATTTAATTTCAGCATTTAACAACTTGAACGTGAATGTTTAACATATTCAAGAAGAAAATACCATTTTCTACATCAACATTGAAGTTTTAATCGTTCAGGATTTTATTTTCAGTTGAAGGTTAAAGTAATCCATCAGATCCCCACCTCGGTCCAATTTAAGCATTTTGCGTAAGCTCTGATAGGCACAGACCTCCAAAGAACTGTTGAATAACCTCCTGGATCACCAACATTATAAGCCACTAATACTAAGCGGGTCAAAGTTCACAGAATGTACAGTGTACTGCTCGTCTCCCAGTGTTTCTAAATCCATCACGTAAAAGAATGTGCATAGAATTATGAATAAATGCATTTTTTATTGTTTTATCTCTTCTGAATCAATGAAATATCAAGTAAGCTGATTTAGTAATGCTTTCTAATTGTTTTTATTTATTTTTCATTGGCTTTAAGGAGAGATTCTAGGACTCACTGTCATTGCCCATGATTAAGATTATCATTTAAAGTTATTATAATCATTACCTGTCAGTTATCTGGTCTCAAACTGCTACCTTATTTTATTCTAATAGCTGCAACCGCGTCATACTGGTATAGTGGAGAAGGTGATCGCTGGCTAATCTATTCAGACAAAGCCTCTGGTCTGTGTTTACTCGTCTGTCTGGGCTGAGCTGATCCTGAGCCCACCGCCTCCGCAGCTCAAAGCAAACACCTTCAACTAAAGTGGTTATACATTGTGTCAGCTTATATATTACACATTAGGTTAGACGTTCACTTTTTAAAAAATCAATTACTGAACTAAACATTGTAAACAAAACAAACCCACATTTAGTTGATTGTTAATAACACACTTTAAATTATGAAACACATCTATAATTCATGTCAGTATTATGATATGTCCTTTAGCCAAGAATACATAAATGAGCATATGAATCCAGCATTTCAATTTGTTTTCATTTTCGGATGTTCTCTCCAATGAAAAATTGCTTTGCTATGTTGAAGGAAAGGCAATCTGTTATTTCAGCCTGCTGCCACTCTCATTTGATCTTGTTATCATCAAACATTGTTAAAAATATATATATTTTGAGGAGAACGATTTGGCAACCAGAGGCTGCTATTTAGTGAAACTCTTATGTAGCTATTTCAAACAATTCAGGAAAAAAGATAGGGAACACTGTAATGTTTTTTTTAAATATATATACATATGAAGCCTTTAAGGGAAAGAGTAGCTTCTCCTAGTTGGTCCTTCTCAGCAGCCTTCTCATGTCTGAGCACAAGGTAAATGAATTATGGTGCCATTCTATTCAGTGTGTCACAGCTCTTCCAGTGAGCCAACATGCACAATACCAGGGCCCACCTAAACGGAGCAGGCCCATAATTATTGTAATTAATTACAGTTGTTTACTCTGCAGAGACATTTCAAAATGGCTGCTGTGAGAAGTGCCTACTGGGGTACATCACTGGTATTCTACTTCCCCGTGTTCTCTGGCCGCGCTGTTTGTGCCGCTGCTCAATGAACCGAGTGGAAACGCCGGTAGGATCCAATCAAGGCGGGAAATCAGCGAGATTAGGAAGATATATGCGTCACTCCGATCTAATGCCCAAAAAAGAACCAGTGCAGCCATGCTACAGCAAGTCAACATAGTTGGTTTCAGTGTTTAGAGGCATCTGATTGACAAGAAGTCCTCACAGCCTCAAGATGTTGTAACTTTTACATCATTTATATTATGAGTTGTTGATTTGACGCAGCAGTCTTCTCGAACAGTGTATGTCGAGTACATATGTAGTATATATGTATATCAAAACTTCTAAAATAATTCCAAACGCTAGGAGCCACCGGTTGTTGCCATTTTGTCTCACTGAAACTACATTTTAACACTGAGGAGAGTCTAAGGATGGAGATCTCTGTGCAGCATTAGTCACTTCACTGCCATAAAATCAAGCCCGATATCAGCTGGGGTCAGCTCCAGTTGTAATACTTAAAACATGACTTCAACACGCTCAAAAAAAGTCTGTTAAATATGAACAACAATATTAGAAACCCCTCTGTGATCATTTTTTCCTTTAATAGAAACAATTATGTTTCATGCATTTCTTTAATGGCAGCTATTTTCAGACATCCTGGTCTTTTAGGACCACAGATTTTATTTCAACTATTTAATATAATTTTCAGTTGTGTAGCTTTTTTGAAACAATGAACATGACATGTCCAAAATAACAAACACTTTAGTGTAGCAAGTAAACCCAATGATATGCAGTAGTTATTTATGTAAAATCAAACAAACAAACGTCTTGCCTTTGAATTTGAGGGGAATAGTTTAAAAGAGACAAATAAATCTTTATTTTTGTAACCTTAGTTTGATTTAGAGCCATGCAGGTTGTTGGAACGATGGGCGCAAATTAGCTGATACATTTAACATTGATGTTGTTAAATGTTGAACTTGACACCAACTTAAGCTCTTTTTTTTCTCCTTTTGATGACAATAATGTCTTGAGGCCACTGATTAAAAAACAAAACATTAAAATGTGTGCCCCTCCTCTAGAAATACACAAAACAAACAAAAGAACATGTTCACTTCCCTGACAAGCCTGGCTCCAGACCTCTAAATGGCTGCCCACATCTCAGATTTGTATTCAGTGATTCAAACAGAAGAATGGCTTGAAACTAAATGGTAATTCAGTGTAATTATGAGGCTCGTCCTGGACCAGATGTCATGAATAAAAAAATGTGACTGCATTTGATTTAATTGAGTCGATCTGTGCTGTTGTGTTGTCATGTAGTCCAACATCTTACTTTGAATTTGGCTTTTTGTAATCTATACTTTGCTGAATATACAATTATGTCAAAACCACTGGCTTTATTACTTTACTCAAATTATCATTGTCGAATAGAATAAAAAGACCACTAAAATGAGATGAATGGTATAATGTTTACCCCCATAGAAAGTCAAGACAAACTCACCGAGGCCAAGGTGGTTCCTGTATTTACTCCTGACAGTCTGAACATGATCTGAGTTATTGCTTCTGATTCCGCAATGTTTTAGTCCTCTTTCTTCTATTTTATTCGTTATTCTTCCAGATAGAAACAACCAGGCATCCTGCTGGATTCGTGAGGGCATGGATAAGCTGTGCATGTATAACATGCACCAAAAAGAAGCCTGACATCTAGAAGACAGAGATAAAGAATGAGAGGGAGGGAGATAAAGAGACAGAAATAGACAAGAGAATTTAAAAAAAGAAATGAAATTGTCAGGAGGGGAAGAGGGGAGGTAAATGAAGAAAGAAATGACAGAAAAGTGGTAAAATAAAAAAGACAAGAGAGGTAGAGAAGGAGAAGGAGTTGAGTGTCTGAGCAGGAGATAAAATGATGGGTGGGCATGTGTCTGTGTATGTGAGTGTGTGTGTGTGTGACCTCACCTTCACAGCCAGCCTAAGCTTCCTTACTGAGAGAAGGTAAGCAGGGTCAGTGTCGACCATGGCACCTCACATGACCAACGACACTGTCCGTAATCCCATAATCCTCTGCTCTCCGCTACCGCTCTTGGCTAAACGAACACCTGAGCTATGGAGGATCACACCTGTCCTCCGCTCCTTCCTCCTCCTCCTCCTCCCCCCTCACTCCCTTCCCTCTGCTTCTTCATCTTGTGCCTCTCCTCATCTTCCTCTACCTCACAGTGGCCCTCCACCCCCTCTCTCACCTCTGTTCATTTTCAATTACCTGGATTTTTTCCCCCCTCCTCCTTTTCTTCGTTCTCCTCCCCCTCCGGCTCCTTCCCACCCTCCCTTCTAAATCCCTCTCTTCCTAATCTCTTTTCTTCCACGCTTGACTCTCTTGTTGTCTTTTCTTTCAAGGATTCAGCAGCTACAAAAAAACACAAGCTCCCTCTTTCTCCTTACTCTTTCCTCCTTCTCCACTTTCAATCTCATCTATCACTAACATTATTTTCGTCCCTAGTTTCCTGTCATGCTGCATTATTGTCTTTCACATTTGCATACACATTGTATTGGCGTTCAAAAAGCACTTTGGCGTACAAAAGACTTGAGCCACACTGGCCCACCCGTGAGGATTGAAATGAGTCTTGATATTTTTGACCTGTTGGTGGTGCTTGATTAAAAAGTCAGGATGACATAAATGTAAGTGAAAAGTTATTTTGAATGTGTTAGACGTTATTCTCAGTGGCAGGTTGTAGATGTTGGACGTTTTGGATTTAATCCGACACACTACACGTGACCCTTTGACCTCTTCTGGTGGTAATATTTTCAGCTTTGGTATTTCAGATGTTCTAATCTACTATATAGAGTTCACAATCAGTGTTGTCTAAGAAAAAAGACCATGTAGCGTCCGTTGTGTGATGTATTTCTGACTGACATGGATTGTCTCTATAATAAAATATATGATTTATATCAAATCCTTAAGATTGGATTGGATTGCTTGAAGTGGGTGTGGCTGAAGGAATACAGCACAGGATACGGAGCTGTAAAGCAATATGTGCTGAGTCGTTTCTAAAATGCAAAACATTGCATTGTGTGATTGTTAGCAGACAGTATACATGCTATGGAAACGCTAATACCCAGCAGCTAACGGCCAAGGGCAGTTTTATGGTTAGCTATAGTCACACCAAATCACATCCGACTGAATAAATTCATGTACACACCCCTAAGTACATGATAAGCCATGGAAAACAATTAGATGTTTTAATTAAATAAATAAAAAAAGTGATTTTGTTGTAAGACTACCCAAAAAAATTATCTTTTTTTTTACTTTTAATTGTCATATAATAGACAACTGAACAATTAAAGGGACACAGGATTAGAATTTTTGAGAACTTATTTTGTCTTGAATCCTGTTCCATGATACGTACATATATTTAGATTTGTTTTGCCATTTGTAAAGTTAATTATAAGCTGACATTATTATAAGTTGTTATTTTCTTTATTTCTGTCATGCATGCTTATCACTCAGGATTATGCATGGTGCAGTGTTAATGAAGCACTGGGCCAATCTCAGATATTTTATATGGGCTATATTTGTGTTGGAGACACAAAATATAGAATAATGCAGCTCCACCATGTCTGGCTTCTGTGCGACAAATCATCACATACTTATTTTCTCCATCTACCGGCCTCATTTCTGCTCATATTCTATGCCTCACGACATCAACTTTTCTTTCATTGTTTTTGTCTATGTTCATTTTGCCTCTTATATTTCCATCCCAGTCCTTTATTTAGCCTCCATACCTTTCGCATTCCATCTCTCTCTTTTAAGTTACCTGTCATTTTTTCCATTAGAGCTGTCACTGCACACAATAGCTAATAACCTGGTCAACGAATCGCACCTGTGCTCTCATGCTTTTTCTATAAATGTCCCTTTTTTTTTCCTCATCTCACTGCTGGTCTTTTCTTTGAATTTCTACACTGTTCTCAGTTTCTGATTTCATTGTATATACTGTGCATTTTTGTTATTTTATCTTCTATATTCTATATTCTGATATTTAATATGTCCTACTCTGTTATTTTATTGTATATATTGTGCATTTTTTAATACTTAATGTTTTTGGTTACTCTGTTGCTTTGCTTACTTTGTATGTCTTGCTGCTGTAACATACAAATTTGCCCCTGGAGATGAATAAAGTATACATCTATCTATCTATCTATCTATCTATCTATCTATCTATCTATCTATCTATCTATCTATCTATCTATCTATCTATCTATATGCTGCATTTCTTTGTTATGTTTGTTAAATTTCTACAAAATTTGACCAAACTAATTTGTTCATATCGAATTAAATGTGGCAATGATTTATTACACTTAGAATATTGCATATAAACTCTTTATACATTAGTATCCTTCACATGTTTCCTGTGCGTGTCGTCTGTGCATATTAACGTGTGCATGTTTGTGGAGTTCAGTGCATTCCTCACAGTATCTGCGTCTAGCTAATGCTCATGGATCTTACATTTTCCAACCTTGTATTTTATTCCCACTGAGGTTTCCTGCCCTAAAATACATGCTTTGCACCAAAGGGAATTCCGGATAAAAGCATCCACCACATGCCGAGCAGCAGGCTGGATGCAGCGTATCTTAATATCAGAATTTGTGTTGTGCATCAGTGCTTTTGTATTTGTTGCATTGCACTCCATATACATGTATATTGCTTGTATGTCTTTCATGTGTGCATCTGATTTATTAGCAGTTCTATCTGTTTCTATGTAAAACAACCAGTGAGAGGAGTGTAAGTGAGTGTAAACACCCTGCTACATATTATATCTATATCTCTCTAATATCTGATCTTTTTCCCCACTGAGCAGCTCCACTGGAGCAGTTGGAGGGAATGTGTGTTGCTCAACGGCACCTCAGCAACATTAATGAGGGAGGGCCATTCATTACGTCAGTCTTTACATTCAAAAAGCAAGTTTTTACATGTGAAAATTAAGTTGAGTTACTTTACGTTTGTGAGGATGACACATTGGAGTGTTTTGTGAGTAAGTCGTTGTGTGTGCTGTGGGTGTTATTTAGTGCCTTTCATGTTACGCCAGTCTTTGTTTTAGGTCCAACTGACTCTGATTGCGTTGTGTGTTGACTAAGAGGTGTTTTTATTTGTACAGCATGTTGTGTAATGTTGGCGGGCAGAGGTTTTCAGCCCTCTTCATGGTGGAGCAGATGGAGCACACAGATTATACAAAGGTGACCAACAGTACTTTAAGGTTAAACACACGTGGACCATCATAGACACACAAACATGCCTGCACGTCAGCCAGATTAAATGTATTCAATACCCTAAGGTCATCCGCTTTGCACCGAGGCCATGTTTCCCTGGAAGCTGATCAGCACAGGGATCATGGTGATGATGGTGATCTCAAAAGCCAGTGCATACGGATTGAAATAGGACACACAGTGGGAGCAGATAAGGAGGCAGGAAACAGATAAAATGGAGGAGGTAGATAAGGAGCTGAGGCGTGGACCAGCTAGCTAGGAGGAAGGATTCATTTGAAGGTTTTTGTGCAATTAAATCAATTCACATATTGCCGGATGATTACATATCAGCGTTTAAGATCCTATCCTGATGTTTGATTCCAGTTGTTTAATAGTAACATAGGCTGCACAGATGCTGCTTAACTGCGACCTGCTCGCCAAGACATTTCATGTGGAATTTAGTCACTCCTGAAAGGAAGCAGGACTCAGGCTTGTGGATTGAGGGGATGGAAGGGATGGGTTTGGCTAGTCTGCCACAGTTTACATGCATCATGAATCATAAAGAAAGTCTAGCTTGCTAGCTAATTTGTATTTTGTGCATATTATTTACCTTCTTACAAGTTTCCATCCTTTTGAAGAATGCAGTCACGTCTTTATTTATTGTCAGCTATTCTGGTTTACATGTCACCTTGATTCATGGTATCACCATTGTGGATGATAAACCTGTCATACCACCCATCACAGTGGATGGCTATCAGGGTGAACCTGATCATTTCAGTCACTTAGACATTCATAAATTACGGAGAGATTGTTGAACCTTCCCTATGTTCTCATCAAAGTTAGTCTGGGTAGTTGTAATAGTTGGTGAAATCCCAACAGATGTTGGAACTGGCATGCAGTACAAACAGCGTTTACAGAAGTAGCACAAGTAATGCAGAAACATCAGCCTTTGGAAACGGGATCACTCACAGGAAGGCAGGAGGCAACCAAGGGTTGTGTATATGTCGCCATTTTGAATGATTCAACTGGGATTTTCACTCATTCATTACAGCTCACTTCCAAACTGATGAGTGTGTTCAATGTTGTGCAGGCACCTCTGGTGATTGTGGAAGGTCATTGCAGGCTTGATTCCAGCTGTTGGACCTCATTCTTGGCTGAGCCATTATTGGATTGTTGGCTCAACACTTCCCTTCCTGCAGTATAAAATAAGACACAGACTGTACATCGTAGTGGAGATCAGTAAATGTGCTTTTCATTTCATTAGTCTCCCTCTTGAGCACTTTGGCCGGGACATACTGTACATTCATACATTACGCAGAACTGA